ACCAATTTCAAAGTGAAACATAATATTTTATTAATATATTTATGTTTTATTTAATTGCTTAGAATATACGAAAAGATATAAGGAACATTTAATCACATCATGTAACCTGTTTTTTATATACCTTTTCAATAAACTCACACGAACATATTTATATATAATAAATGCTTGATATAACTTTTTTTGAAGGATATGTAACGGTTGTTGGGAAGAGTACAAAAAAGTGCCTTTCTTATGGTGTGGCGTGCAAGTCTTGTAGAAAATGCCAGTATCGAAAGAGAGGAAGAGGCTTATATGTAAATCTCACAGCTGAAGAAAAAACTGGAGCGGTTCAGCGAAAGGCATGGAATGTTTCCTAACCGTGAAGTGCATCAAGTCTTTGAAAGAAAAAAGCCTGGATGTACAAAAACTTATCATGGATGACAACAGCACTACATTTTTGAGAACTAAAAAAGCAGTACCAAACATTTTAAAAAGTAGCGATAAAAACCATGTAGTCTGGAATTTGTCCAACGCATTAAATAAGGTCAAAGAAACCCATGGAGGTCTTTCTGTGAAAACCATAAAATACTTCAAGAAATGTTTTGAGTATACAATTCAACAAAACAAAAATGACATAGAGGGGATCCGAAAAAACCTGTATGCAAAAGTTCCGCATGCACTCGGAGATCACAGTCAATGTAACTCCAGTTGGTGTGGATTCCTTAAAGATCCAAGCACTTACGAACATAAATCGCTGCCCTCGGGAAAAGATTTTGTTGGAGAAAAACTAAGAGAAGCCCTGCAGGATGTTTTTCAGAAGCATGCTGAAAAAGCTGAAAAGTACATAGATCTTGGATCATCAAATGCAAACAAAAATTTAAATCAGATGATAGCAAAGAAGGCACCTAAAGCTCAACACTTCTCAGGATCAGAGAGCCTTTCTTACAGAGTTGCCGCTGCTGTTGCCCAAAAAAACGAAGGTCACAAGTACATTTTGCAGGTAAAGCTGTTTTAATGTTTTAATAAAATGTATTGCAATGGGCGGATCATAATCCCCGTTTCATAAATGAAGAGGGTGGCTGACCTTTTTGTAACGATCAAATTAATCAAAAAGTAAAAACACTTATGTATACTTGTATGTAAGTTATTCATGACAAAATATATTTTGAGTGTAAAAATTTAACATTCATTTTTTTAAATCAAAAAGAAATAATCCATATTACAGCAGACATGAAATCTAAAATATAAATGAATATCTTAAGCTGGGGGAAGATTTTGCTTTATTTCTTTTTCTTCAAAAGGTTAATTCAGCATGCAACTTGTCTCCTTGGAAACAAACTGAAAAAAGACAAAACCTTCTGGATAAAAAAAGGTCCACAAAGCACCATGTCCAAGGTACCTACAAAGCCAAGATAGAACGTCTTAAACTTCGGGAACAGAGGCAAACATCGGAGACAACAATGGAACTCTGCGAAGGCACTACATATGCTACAGATATAGAATTGTCAGCGACAAATGATGAGTTAGAGGATCTTATCAGGGAAATTCCCATGTCTGAAAGAAAACCATCGAAAATTTCACATCTATCTTCTGAAACATCAAATATCATTGTTGCTGATCTGGAAACCACTGGTTTAGGTAATTAATATATATATTATATATTTAAAACTATCAGGGCAGGCAACTATTTTGTTTGCATGATTAACGTAAACTTTTTTACCAGCTTTAAGTACTATAAATTTGGTAAAAAGTAGTGTTTTTTTTTTCTTTCAGCGGCAGATAGTTCCATCATCCAAATAGCTGCTAGTAGCTATTGTACGGAGGACACCTTTTCCAGTTTTATACGTCCTCAAAATAGTTATATCACTAAAACGGTTTCAAAACTGACAGGCATTGAAGTGCATGGTTTGACCATGTTCTCCGACATGGTACCGGTCCGATCCATGGAAGAAAAGGAGGGACTGTTAAAGTTTGTGGAGTGGATGAGAAAGTATGACCCTCTTCTCATCGTGGCTCACAATGCATGTTTTGATTCTCGGATCTTGATATCTGCATTCAACAGGCACGGAATCACCGATCATCTTATAAGTATTGTTGGTTTTTCAGACTCCATTAAAGTTTTCAAAAAGGCATTCCCCAGTCAATCATCTTATAAGCTGCAGCATTTGGTTCAAAAATTTGGTACAGACCTGCCACCGGTCCAAGCCCACAATGCTGTTAACGATGTTCTGGTACTCCGCCACCTGTTGCTGAAAATATCTAGCGCCTCAGATTCTCTCCGACAATCTGCATTTTCTGTCAAGCATGTCACACTTCAGATCAAAAAAGCGCAAAACAAACAAAAACATTTAGACGGCTATGACCAGTTGATAAGCCAAAATGTTTTGACGAAGACCCAGTGTTCAAGCTTAGCATCGCATGGACTGTCCGTGAAACAAGTGCAACGTAGATTTGATAAAGCAGGGGTAGATGGGCTTAAGGACGTACTGAAAGGGAAAATTAAAAAAATAAGTATTGCTGTTGAAAAACTAGCTCGGCACTTTTCACAAGCAACATCCTAATCTAGAGTGAGTTAATATCAATGTAATGTACTGGTAGATACAAGGATATGAATCCTATTAATGGGATTAGCATGATGATTTTCATTTTTGGATTTGGAATTTGATAAAATGCTTAAACGATATTTCAAGCTGTATGATGGTTACATGTATTTCTATGACATTATCAAACAAAACTTCTTTTGTATTCAGATAATAGAAAATATCTTCAAGCTATTATCAAATTGTCCACGTATTTATGTAAACTTGTAATGTGCCTAAATGTTAACCCCCCACCCTAATCCCTATCAAATATATTTTATATCTTTATACACTGTATTAAAATATATTAATACATAAGATTCTTTCTTTATTCACTTGATTTTATTTCTTGCTTCCTTTTGACGCAGTGTAAATCAGAAAATATACGCGACGTCAAGCATGACGTCGTGGGCGCTAGTAGCGTAATTCATTAAAAAATGTCTTTTTTCGCCATTCAAAAGTTACTATGAACATTTAATTTGTGAGAAAACGAGCCCGAATACATATGATTTTTTTTACATGTATTTAATTCAAATAATCTCGATGTGATTCGGGCAAAAAATCAATAATTTCGTCTGCACCATTTAAGAGATATTAATATTTTTTAATAAAAGTATTGTCAGGAAAAGGGTTTAAAAAATACGTTTTCTCTATATAATTCAATAGAATAACGCTGAAAAGCTTGCGTCAATAATGGCATGTTCGGGAGTGAATTGCATGAAAACGATGCAGACAATTTTTATCAAATTTTCAGAAACTATGAAATAAAATCAGGGAATTCGTGTAACAAATTTTCAGGGTATGTTTTTGAGCAATTTTTAAACAAGTCACTGATCGCAATACACTTGTCAATATGACCACAACAACGTGACGTAGTTTGTATGCAGTGAGAGATCATTAAACTACTTAAAAACTTAAAAACGTATTGTTGTTTTGTCGCTAAAATCAAAAAGTATGTCACTGATCGCTACACTTTAAATAAAATATAGTTTGTATGCAGAGAGACAGATATTATTTTCTATATGTACTATTTAAATAAAATATAATTTTCAACTTGAATTTGATGTCTTCTTCGCTATTTTATTAATATATTTTCTGTACTTTTCGTATTTAATTGACACTGCCGTATATTTGTATCCAAGTACATCGGAGGGTAATGTGGGGGGTCTTAATAAATCGATCTAGTGCAAGGGCATACACTCTATGGATCAAAGTAAGCTTTTACATTTCAACTATAGCGATCCTGATGAAATCTTAAAAACAATTTAATTATATCAATATTTCATGCCGCTGTCCAGCAAAAAATATAGCATTCGGTCATACAAATATAATTTTAACAATGAAATTGCAGAATTTAGACAGGATCGCAGCATTTTTTAGAAATAACAATCCTTGTTGAAAATATTTATATCCTAAACTTAGAAAATTAACTTGGTTATGCCCTTGCACTAGTGACATTTATATGTAACATCAATACTTCAAGTCAATGTGCTATAATCGCGTGACTGCCGTATCACGTGACTAGTCTAAATATAAAATATAATCGTCCTCGATATGTAGTTATTAATCATAATTACAATTATCCGATATAAAAAATGTACTTAAAATAATCGCCATCCCGATTACGAATACATGTTTAGATACAAAATTTAGCCGATATTTCCATTGCGCACCTTAACTGTACTGCGGAATGTAAACAATTTAGTTTTTCCCATCCTGCATCGCTCTGTAGGCGCTTTATTTCATTGGTCAATTTCCCGAGGCGCCATTTTTGGAGGATCGAGAAGGACGAAGAAGAAGGTGTAAGCAGCTGGTAATTGTGAAAAGTAAAGATGGTTTCACCACCCAGTGTCTTTAAGACTGTGATAAATGCAATGGCCAACGATGAAGGATTAGTGTACTATATTTTTTTTACTCTTTACGGTAAATAGTAACAGTTGTAATATTTGGCAACAACAAATCTTCACTATCGGAGACAACTTTTGTTCTGACGCCATTTTGAACAGTTGGATACCTAATTTTTAAATTGTTAAGTGTATATATTGCAGAGAGAAAGAGAGAGAGAGAGAAAAAAAAGATTTGAGACAGTGATATAGCTAAAGGATACACCAAAGGCTTTTTTCAAGATTTTTGTCAATTTTGAGATTTTTGGCTAAGAAAACAATGCTAATCATTGCTTTTTAATGCATGAGAAATTCTTGCTGATTATTAAATGGTTTTCTAATTATTTAGATTATGGAGGCCCCAAAGGCACGGTGCATGTGCATGCTGTATGTTGTAAAATGGCAACGTTTCGCCTTTTATCATGTTTATTAAAATGTATGTTCTCTCTCTATATATAAATGAATACTTTTTGGAATTAAAAAAAAAAATAACCCCGCTCAAATTATCCGGATGATAATAGTTACACCGAACATGGTTTTGTAGTTAAATTCAGACTGTAGAACATCCGGTTTGAATACATGTGTTTTCTGACTTTTCGGATAGCCAACTCTTGTTTTTTGGAACTTACGACTTGTGGCAAGGTATAAATTAAATATTTTTGGTTCAAAACTTTGATAAAAGCATCGATATTTTTACAAAAAGTGTCTTCAATCTCAGCTTATCCGATTATTCATGAAGGATATTCTCATCAGAACAGTTGGACAGTTGGAATAGATTGTAGCGAATAGCATAACCCTTAATCATATGCATGACGATATGGAGGAAAAATATACATAAAAAAGTGAATGTAGGTGAAAGCCTGTCCACTTTTCTGAAGAGATTAGGTTTGTTTTATTGTTTATAGTTTACTGCTCAAAAGATTTTTTTTTGTAATGTCTAACCCAGATAGCATGACTCCGTTGGGCCAACGTTGGTTTTTGGTTGTATGGTTGGTAGAGTGTTGGCGTTGGGGAACAGATGTAGGCCCAACGTTCATTTACGTTGGCATGAAAACTAAACCAACGGTGTTGGGCATGTAATGTTGGCCCAATATTGGCCCATTGTTGTAACATGTTGACAATAACAATAGCGACTTGGTGTTGGACATTAAGATGTTGGCCCAACATAGGTCCAACCGAGTAGGTGTTGACATGGATCAAGACCATTGTGTGTTGAGTATGAAATGTTGGCCCAACGTAGGTGTAACTGAGTACATGTTGACACAAAACATTGCCACTTATTGTTGGTTATTCAATATTGGCCCAACGTTGGCCCAGCTTAATAAATGTTGACAATATAATGATTCATTGCTCTGTGTTGGGCGTGCTGGATTGAACTGGAGTTGGTTCAATAGTAGGAATATTGGGATTACTATTACATGTACAGGTAGCCTGTAATGTTTGAGATGAAATGCTGGTCCAACGTTGGCCCAATGTTGCGAAAAGTATTCATCAATTTAGATTTATCTATTGTAAATCGATGGTAATGATATAAGCAACTCATTATAAACATGTGATCTATATTATATATTGAATGGAAAATATGAGACATTCCTTATAAGTCTGTGAATTGCATATAGTAATTTTGTATCTTGGTAGATTCTATATTTAGCATCATTGAATCAAATTTAAAGTGCTGTGTTTTGCATGTTTTGGCCTCCAAAATAAATAGGTCACTGGTGAAATTCAATGGCTCGGCAGGTGACTCATAGGTCTCCAAGGAAACCGTCATCTTAATCAGTTTTTTTTTTTAACCGCGCACTTGAACAATGCAAAGCGTATGTGTCTGTTTAAGTGAACGCAAGAATTTTAATCCTTTCAATGTAAGTATAGCTTTTGTTTTTGTTATTGAAATAATTAATAATGTGAAATGCACAATTGTAATGGCCTGCATGTAGGTTTTCAAATTATTGGTACCGGGTAGCTGATTAAACAATTTTAATTGATGACGATCTTAATTTTTATAGGAATTGGCGGGCTGGAACAAAACAGATATGTCCGGATCTGTAAGTGAACGCAAGAATGTTTACCAGTGAGATGTAAGTAACCATTTTGTATTTATATTAATAATGTGAAATTCAATCTTAAGGATTGCTTTAAAAATATGTGTTATGCTGATAAACATTTGAAAATACTATTTTAATTGATGACAACCTTAACGTTTACAGGAAATGCCAGGATGGAAAAACCCTCTTCACTCTGAGACTATTGATGTGGCATTTTCTGTATATGGAAGGGATTGATTTATATGTGTGGGAAAACATGGATTCTAAGAACAAATAAACAACAGAAAAAGTTATGTGATTCAAATATGACCTTTCAAAACTGTACAATTAGAACTTGAAGACTCTTATATCAAAGCGATATTTAGTAGTGGACATAGTGATGTGGAATGTCCTTGAGAAACCTTGAACTTTCTACCTCTTCCCTCTTTTAGTTACATTCCATGGAATACTTTAATGAAAGTAAAAGTGGCAAAGAATACATTGTGTTACATTTTAGGAGGAAAAAAGTATTTGACCAAATATGGTGAAATTAATTGTGTCATATAATCTGGGAAATAAAAATTACAGAATTTAATTAATTTTGTAAGACATTTGTATTGAGGAATAATTGTGCCAATGATATTTCAAGAAACAGCTTTGTATCAACTTTGAATCAACGCCGAACGTAATAACTATATTTTGAACTTAGGTCCAGTGTAGGGCCAACGTTACAAAATATTTGGTTAGCATTGGTACGTTGGAATAGCGTTGTACCAACGTTGGCATTTTAACAAAAGTGTTGTACCAACGTTGGACCAACGTCGGACCAACGTCATGATTATATTTTGAACTGAGGTCCAACGTTGGGCCAACGTTACAAAATATTGCGTTGGCGTTGGTATGTTGGAATAACGTTGTACCAACGTTGACAAATAAACAAACAGTATTGTACCAACATAGGCCCAACATGTTGGGCCAACGGCGCGCCAATGAGCAGTAGGACATTGGGCCAACGTAAATTGCCAACATTGGCAGTCCCGCTGTGCTGTGAATTTTACCCTTGATACCTCGAAGTGGCTGTGTGTATACCAAGTTAAGTTATAATGTTCAAACTTTTGCCATAACTGTATATCTGTCAGTGTGTCTGTCTGAGTGTCTGTTGTCAACTTAAACCTTCACCATAACTTTAGAACTATCCGAGATAGTGGCTTCATATTTAGTATGCATACTCCACTAATGAAGTGCTTTCAAATGGCAACAAGGACAATGATTATGTGATCTTGACTGTGACTTTTATGCTAAAAAAATTGCATTTTCGAACTTTGTTGCTGTGTTTCACAAGCGCATCTTGTTTTTAGCTCTACTGGTCAGAGACCAGAAGAGCTTATGCAATAGTAATGCGTCCGGCGTCCGTCTGTCTGTCTGTCCGTCTGTCTGCAAACACTACTCCTCCTTAAATTTTAGTCTGATTTCAATATAACTTGGCACACAAGTAGACTATACTAAGGTACATAATTCTGTGCATCAGTTTTTGATAAGTACAAACCAGTAGAGCTACAGTCTCGACAGAGACCTCTGGTTATTTTTTCTTCCATCCCGGTTTTTGCTAATGCTATTACATAATTAGTTTAAATTAGAATGCAATAGTACCTGGACATAATTTATTATTTCAGAGAGGAGAAAACTGTGTGACTTTAAAAGAAAACCAGTGAGATAAAATCATAGAAAATGTATGATGATTCAGGATGTGGTCATTTGGTAAGCAGTAATTCATTCATGATTAGTATGTATATGACAATTGCCTGAAAAAAAAAGATTCTAAATTTTATTTAAATACTGAACTGTGGTATATTAGCTGTGGGCTACAAGAAGTTTTATGTCAAAGCTAGGGCTGAAACAGTTTGCCCCCTCCATGTTATATGTGTATTGCTATGATTGACATACAATCGGTTCTCTAATACATACACTTCAAAAAAAACTTTGTCGTCTTGAACCTGAATTGAACAGGAAAAAAATCTGAGATCTCTCCAAAAATTTGAATGAAAAAAAAGGAAATGCTTATCAACTGATTTCTTGCTGTTATGTATTTTGATTACTTAAAGGAAGCTCTAAAAACTGCACACTAAAGAGTTCTACTTTAATATCAGGTAGTTTTATGAAGTTAGAGTGATCTGCCCATAGATTAAGATTATGAAAAATATTATTTTACAGTCAGTTAGATTAATTTTAATAGATTAAATTATTTTTAGCATTATTTAAAATAAAAAAAAAATAGGAAATTAATTATTTTCATAAATTTTTCCAATGTAAGTAAACAGCAATGATTTCTGCTTACAGATAGTCCATTGTCTTTGAAAATTTCTTGGGGAAATGAGGCGCATACCATATGTTCTGAATGAATAAAAAAGGCTCATTATGCACATATTTATATGAAATATGATAGCATCTGGCTTAAAACATGAATCAAATTCAATACACTGTAACTGGAAAGTTGTTGCATAATGCTCAGGTGACCTATAAGGCCCGTGGGCCTCTTGTATAGATATTCAATGAAATTATTTGAAGTATTAAATTTTGGTAAATTTTATGATACTAAAAGGCTATATGGATGAAAAAACAGCATCCGTGTATGACAATAGGGCTTAAATTTTTAATGTCTCTTATTTTTTCAGTGACATTAAAACAGGAATTGTCATCACCAATAGACAAATTTCACATTCCTAAGAGTTTTCTCCAATTGTCGGCGTATCGCTCATTTTTCCCACTTTGTCCTTTGTAAGTTACTTGTTAATATTTTAAATCTTCAAAAATATTGGACAATTACGATCTGTATTGCCAGAGTATGGGGGGCAACATGAAAATCATAATGAATATGTTCATACAGATTTTATTTCTTAGATATTGTCCCTCAAAGTTGATACGGTTAAAGAGGGAAAACAGCGTCTTAAGCCAGTTGACCCCAGATCGACCCTGAGAAGGGGAATAAATGTGAAAGTCCTTTATGGTATATCATATAGATCTAAAACTCACTGAATTTTGATCAGCCAATTCATGAACAGGATGAATGGATGTATATAATGTTGGTCAATATATGTAAAAAAAAATTATATTACTTGTTTATATATACATTTGTGGTATCTCTCCCATTGAAGTTTATAAACTTGTTATTTATTTCATGATCCTTGCCCCCCTGGGGCCTAATGGGTGGGGCCAAAACCACTAAAATTAGTGCAATCTTTAAAAATCTTCTTCTTTACTCCTGGACATCAAGCAGTCAAACTATTTGCATGATTGTAATCAGCATTGAGTCCTCTACCAAAATTGTGAAATTCATGGCCCTGGGGTCAGGGGTTCTAGTGCTAGGGCGGGGCTAAATAAGTATATAGTGAAAATGCATTATTTCTTTGAAAATCTTCTTCTCTGCTCCTGGGTATTAAATAAACCAAGTAAGTATATAGTTATAATGAGCAAGAGTGCCTCTACCAAATTTGTGAATTTTATGGCCCCAGGGTCAGGGGTTCTGGTGTTAGGGTGGGGCTCTATTGATTATATAGTAATAATACATGATTTCTTTGAAAATCTTCTTCTCTGCCCCTGGGTATTAAATCAACCAAGTAAGTACATAGTTATGATAAGCAAGAGTGCTTCTACCAAAATTCTGAATTTAATGGCCCCAGGGTCAGGGGTTCTGGTGTTAGGGTGGGGCTCTATTGATTATATAGTAAAAATACATGATTTCTTTGAAAATCTTTTTCTCTGCCCCTGGGTATTAAATAAACCAAGTAAGTAAATAGTTATGATGAGCAAGAGTGCCTCTACCAAAATTTTGACTTTTATGGCCCCAGGGTCAAGGGTTCTGGTGTTAGGGGGGCTCTATTGATTATATAGTGAAATTACATGAATTCTTTGAAAATCTTCTTCTCTGTCCTTAGGTATTAAATAAATTAACTAAGTGCATAGTGATGATGTGCAAGAGTGCCTCAACCAAAATTGTGAATGTTATGGTCCCAGAGTCAAGTCTGGTGTTGGGGGGGGGGGCTCTATTGATCATATAGTGAAATTACATGAATTCTTTGAAAATCTTCTTCTCTGCTCCTAGGTATTAAATAAACTAACAAAGTGCATAGTTATGATGAGCAAGAGTGCCTCTACAAAAATTGTGAATTTTATGGCCACAGTGTCAATGGTTCTGGTGGGGTGGGTGGGGGCTTTATTGATTATAAAGTGAAATTACATGAATTCTTTGAAAATCTTCTTCTCTGCTCCTAGGTATTAAATAAACTAAGTAAGTGCATAGTTACATGTATGATGAGCAAGAATGCCTCTTCTAAAATTAGGAATTTCATTGCCCCAGGGTCTGGGGTTCTGGTATTAGGGTGGGGCTCTACTGATTATATAGTGAAAATACATTAAATCTTTGAAAATTTTCTTCTCTGTCTCTGGGTATGAAGCAGATGAACTACCTATATAGTTATGATGAGCAAGGGCCCTAATCTTGCAGAATTGTGAATTTCAAGGCCCCAGGGTCAGGGGTGGGGGGGGGGGGGGCTCTACTTATATACTGAAAATGAATTAATTGTTTGAAATCTGGTCCTTTGTATTGATAAAACATTTATTTACTTTTTATAGGCAATTTTAAGGGTGCCTTTTAAAAATTTGTGCAACTTAGGGTCAGGGGTTTATGTCAGAGTGTTAGGGGCACTACTGATTATTAATGAATATTACTGATCAGTTGGAGTCCATTTTTGCTCCCCTACCCTGCGTATGGGTATTCAGTAACCAAGCTAAGCAACTGCTAAGTTTATTGTTATGATGATCAATGGTGCCCTTTCAAAATTGTGAATGCCATATAGCATCTGGCTTAAAACATGAATCAAATTCAATACACTGTAACTGGAAAGTTGTTGCATGATGCTCAGGTGACCTATAAGGCCCGTGGGCCTCTTGTATAGATATTCAATGAAATTATTTAAAGTATTAAATTTTGGTAAATTTTATGATACTAAAAGGTTATATGGATGAAAAAACAGCATGCGTGTATGACAATAGGGCTTAAATTTTTAATGTCTCTTATTTTTTCAGTGACATTAAAACAGGAATTGTCATCAACAATAGACAAATTTCACATTCCTAAGAGTTTTCTCCAATTGTCGGCGTATCGCTCATTTTTCCCACTTTGTTCTTTGTAAGTTACTTGTTAATTTTTTAAATCTTCAAAAATATTGGACAATTACGATCTGTATTGCCAGAGTATGGGGGGCAACATGAAAATCATAATGAATATGTTCATACGATTTTATTTCTTAGATATTGTCCGTCAAAGTTGATACGGTTAAAGAGGGAAAACAGCGTCTTAAGCCGGTTGACCCCAGATCGACCCTGAGAAGGGGAATAACTTTTGTAAATGTGAAAGTCCTTTATGGTATATCATATAGATCTAAAACTCACTGAATTTTGATCAGCCAATTCATGAACAGGATGAATGGATGTATATAATGTTGGTCAATATATGTAAAAAAAAAATATATATAACTTGTTTATATATACATTTGTGGTATCTCTCCCATTGAAGTTTATAAACTTGTTATTTATTTTTTAAATAAACTGAGCATACATGCAATACCGGTATAAAATTACTCATAAGATACATGTATACTTAAACCATGATAAAATCATATGTGTCCAATGCAGCATATGATAAATCATTAACATACAAGTACATGTGTATATATACTGTAATACATATATATTGCATTATTTTTAGGTCCTGTTCTGTGGATGCCCTAAGACAGTGTCTACCCATCACGCCATCTGATAATGACTTGTTCTGAGCATATATTTCTCTCCCAAACTTAAACTACAGAGAGCCTGTGGATAGAGGATGAAGAGTGACCTTCGACTAATTTTCTAGGTCAAAGGTCAGTATCAAAATCTACTGTATATCTTTATTTAAAATTGTAGTCCAGAGTATATTTCTCCCCTGGTGTAATCTAGCTTTTGTGCAATGGGTTGGAGAGTCTGCAATGATCTTCAACCAATATCTAGGTCGAATATGAAAATAAAAAAAAAATCTCTCCCTAATATTTTTGTTTTTATAAAGGGCATGTTTTCTCTCAAACTAATCAAACTTAAAGCAGGGTTCTTAGTATGAGATACATGTAGTAATATATTCTCAATGACATAAGAAGGCTGAAAACATTATTTATATTATGTTATTTTTTTTACTTATCATAAAGCATTAAACATTTAAGAGCTACATTAAATGCTGAAATCATTTGTATCATGGTCATGGAAAGTAATTATTGATATTGGTATTTTAAAGAACATTGACTGATTTTTCAGATTTCTAAGTTGTATTCAAGCATTATATTTCTGACATCATAAAATAATTTTGTATGAATATTGCAGATCATAGGTAATGTGAAGAAAACCAGGAAACTGATGTTGAAAGAAGTACTTAATGACCCTTATGAATGGACTTAAATGTGAAAGACTGTTCCATTGTTTTTCTAAGATATATGAATTTATTTAATATTTTGATATCATTGAAAAATTCAGTTACAGTTTTTGTACATCAAATGAATTATTAAACATATAAAATGATAATGCTTTTTTTCTTTTACTTGGAATACATTTACTTTAGAAAAGTTAGGGAACCTTGAAGTTTCCCAGTAATTTCCACCAGGAATGGGACTCCAGATAATTCCACCAAGTTTCCCCCACACAGAAAGTGCTAAACAAGTTCCATATAGTTTCCTGAGTCAAGGAAACTTCAGGAATCATAAGGTTTCACGAGCTTCCATGTAGTATCCCATAAAAGAAAACCTTAAGATTCCATCAAGTTTCCATTCCATGGAAACCACTACGCTCATATTCCATATGGATTCCTGAGTCGAGGAAACTTTAGGAATCGTGAGGTTTCCCGAGCGTCCATGTAGTTTCCCATATAAGGAAACCTAAAGATTCCATCAAGTTTCCATTCCACGGAAACCACTACGTTCCGATTCCATATGGTTTCCTGAGTCAAGGAAACTTTAGGAATCGTGAGGTTTCCCGAGCTTCCATGTAGTTTCCCGTAAAAGGAAACCTAAAGATTCCACCAAGTTTCCATTCCACGGAAACCCCCTACGCTCCGATTCCATCAAGTTTCCTGATTCTGGAAACCAGTGGAATCTTCAGGTTTCCCATTCCATTACGGGAAACTACATGGATGTTCGGGAAACTTCAGGTTTACAGAGGTTTCCGTGGTTCGGGATACCTTATGGAATCGGAGCGTAGGGGGTTTCCGTGTCACGGAAACTTGGCGGAATAACCTAGCATCCGCTACGGAAACCACTGGGAAACATGATGTAAACTTGAGGTTTCCATGTGGTTTCCATAAAGTTTCCCTTGATGGGAAACCACTTTTTTCACCCAGTGGAAAATAAAGTGCTTATGAAGAGTCCCTAAGAATAAAAAAAGGTCTTTTGTAGAACATGTATCTATCTCTTTCAAATGACAGTTAATTCGATATAAATCCAAACCCAACATAAAAGTATCTATGCATTGTTGCGATGAAGAACAAACTTAAGGCACAGAATTTGAAGTTGGGTTAGGAAGATGTGAATTGTGTATTTATATTTGGTGCGGAAATTCAACTTCTGAGCTAATTCTGATTGTAATTTTAACAAACTCTTTTCTGTCCAGAGATGTCTTACAAGACATATGAGGAAAAAGATAATTTATAAAATCTGCCATCATTTAATTTTTTCCATAATTCTTTTACACGTATACAATCCTTGACAAAATTGTGAGTGGAAGCGTAAATGGCTTTCCTGTTCATTCGTAATTCTTTATTTCGGGATTGTACGTAGCTTATTAGGTAAAATAAGCTTTAAAGCTACTATATTTCACAAGGCCGCTCTTTTTAACTCATCGAAAAAACATACTCTTTGCATCTTTCGCGAGGTTTCCTCTCACCTGCGCAATTCATATTTTCCCTAATAAACAAGTTTTGTTAAGTTTTCCTTGACATGTCTGTGAACGACACGCCGTCTTTATGAAGTGTAGTTTGAAATTTACCCCCCCCCCCCCCCCCCCCCCCCCCCCAAAAAAAAAGTTTAATGTATTATTTAATTGCAATTCAAAGTGTTTACATGACGTTATATGAACACAGTTTAATAATTTAAAATTAAGAACTATGAAATTTAATGCCCCCCCCCCAAAATGAATTCATATTGTTCACTGCTAATACAGTCATTCAAAGCTTAAAATGAAATACACAATTGTTAAACACTGATCCTGGCTCTTAGATACATGTATTGGGAAGGTCAGCATTGTCTTTCGCATTTTAACTTGTGGAATCAACAAAACTGTCCAACACGGATTCCTAGGTTCATCCCTGATATTTTCAGACTCATTTTAAGCACAGTTGTTCGGGTTTTCCTTTATTTCATGAAATAACACGCTCGGACAGAGCCGATTCAGATCGTTTCTGATTGCTCTTCCAAACCTATGTCCTGTCAGAGAAATGATCTTCTGCTCGTCGATCCCTCCCTGATACGAACACGTCCACCTACCCGAGTGGTTGGAAAAGTTTCCCTGCAGTCCCATTTTCCTTCTTCAGCCCTTTTAATTTGTTAGATACCAGTACTTGTTCTCCATATCGCACATAGAAAAGACTTGGCGGTAAAAAGCCTTAAAACCCCATTTTTACTAAGAGATTCGAGGAATGTAAGATCGAGGTTATTTACCTATTCATGAAATCGAAACATAAGTGAGGAAAACCAGTGTAGAGTAAAATAACATATAGTGTATACCAAAAGAAACAATTTACTTTCTTGACTATATTGAACAGGACTGCAATTTAAGGCTATACTCGACCAGGTATTCTGTTTTAGTATCAGAGGGTATGAATTTTCCCCGTCCCTAAGAACCTGTGGTAAATAAACATTTGTCTGGCGCCTTTTTAATTTATGTGTAACAAGTAATTTTTATCCCCCCCCCCTCCAGTTACTACTTCGAAGTAACATTTCTTTGTTGTCCCTCTCAACGGATATTACATGCTTCATACAGGCCTGAATATCTTTGTACGTAGCGCTTTCATTCTAAAAATATTTTTATACGAATTATTTCACCCTAATTTAGTTTAGAAAAAAGAAAACAAAACTATTTTAAGTACACACTCTGATTTGATATGCTCTTAAGCTTGTGGTAACTATGTCAAGACGCCAGCACAAGAAAAAAATAAGTGCTGGAGGAAAACAAAACTGCGGGCAATAAATTGAGGATCAGTCACTCGCGTGCATGAACACTGCGGTTTTATTGTTTGAATAAATATGTAATGGAAACAATTTTAATATAAAAAAATTCTAGAAAAGGGACAACTGGAAGTAAATGAACACATTCTTGAGTAAATATTTTCTGAGACATATATCATGCGCGGATTTTTTTTTTGGGGGGGGGGAATACCCCATCCCACCTGAGATTTTTTTTTTTGACACGTAACTTGGCAGATAATCAATTCCTTGTCTATTATACCTCACCTTCCGTTTTTTGTCAGTGAAGTTTTAGAGATTGTTCCTTCACAGTATATGAAAATTGCTAGTATTTTTTTTACTCCAGCATGTTAGAGGTTTACGCCGAAATACGTGTACTTTGACTTGGTGCCGCGTAATGTTCAGTCATGTACATGTATATACCGAGTATGTGCTTTAATGTAAAGGGCCAATCTCTAAAACTTGACAAATGCGGAAAATATGAGATATCGAAGTATTGGTATGACGAACAAGGAATTCATGTTTATTTTGCTTAGTTTTATTTTCAGTAGGGGGGAAGGGGCAAAGTAAATGAACCAATCGTCAGGTACTTGTGATTTTGTTGAGTACTGTAACAAGAATAAAAAAAATTTTCCTCAAAACAGTATTGCGGCTATAAATACCTAATCTGATTAATTGCAAATTGCAATTGGAATTGGAATTGAAAAAAAAAAGAAATTCGTGAGAGATAATTTTACAATTAATTAAAATGTAGCCTATACTGGTCTATGTAAAATGTCACTTATATTATAGTGTTTCGTGTTTATTGGGCTCAAAACCATCTCTTTTTAAATTGAATGTCCATACATGTATTTCCCTCAATTTCAGGTGCGTAGGGAATATATACTCATGTCTTGTTCCGACTTATTGTACAGTTAAAAGCCCACTTGGCAACATCTCGCAAACAATAATGTTCCAATCACGGCAATATAGCATGCACTTCCTATTTCACGCTGTCTCTGATGACGTCACGCAACAAGGGAGATAAGCGATTTACAATAAATAATCCACTTGTCTCACAGGTAAGTTTAAACGACGATTAGTGATGGAAATTGGTGACAAAAAAATAAACAGACCTCAGAATGTCATTAATATTGCTCCAGAGGTTGACAATAATGAATAATTATGAATTTTCACAAAAATATTATACTTGACCTTTAAATGTTGGAATTGAAAAAAAAATATTACATGTTATTTAAATCCTTTGTATTTTCCGTAGCATTCTACTTTCCGCCTCATGCCAATGAAGGGCCGCAAATTTAGAGGTATATAATCGGCACTGAAGCCAATGAGCATTTACATAAATTTCCGTGCCAGCAATTACTGCGACATGGACCCCGGATTATGCGATCTTGCCTGAAGAACCATTATCGTCTTATGGTTGGAATTCAAATCAGAGACACAAGGTAAAATTCTAAACAGATGCTCAAACCGTACTACAGTAATTTAATGCTGCAGATGTATTGTTCCAAACACTTTATTCTCAAAGCAATTTATGTTTTAAAGAAATTCGCAAGAAGGACATATGAAATAGCCAATACGGTAATTGTTTAAAAGCCACGTAGTCGAAAAATGTGTGTACATGATAATGTAAAAAAATGCAAATAAAGACTAACAAAGCAAGTTATACATTGAAAGCTCACGGAGGATTATTCTGTTTGCTACGTGAAGCTACAAATTTATAAGTTCACTTCTGATCAGGGCATGCAGGCCCTTTTCATACATGTAGTTGACATCAAATAATAAACTCTATGTCCAGGGGGATGACAATAGATCATCAAGGATTTCCTGGCGTTAAATAGTGTCACTGTAGATCCGCAGTTCCTATGGACAGGGGTAAGGAAACAGTTTTACGTTGTCGATGGCGATGTCTCCTCGATAACCCGATCCAATACTTCCATAAATAATCAGCTGTAACAAGAGAATGTCCATAAATTATCAGCTGTAACAAGAGAGTGTCCATAAATTATCAATTGTAACAAGAGAATGTCCATAAATTATCAATTGTAACAAGAGATTGTCCATAAATTATCAATTGTGATAAGAGATCGTCCATAAATTATCAATTGTACGTCCATAAATAATCAATTGTGATAAGAGATCGTCCATAAATTATCAATTGTAACAAGAGAATGTCCATAAATTATCAATTGTAACAAGAGATGGTCCATAAATTATCAATTGTAACAAGAGATTGTCCATAAATTATCAATTGTGATAAGAGATCGTCCATAAATTATCAATTGTACGTCCATAAATTATCAATTGTACGTCCATAAATTATCAATTGTACATCCATAAATTATCAATTGTGATAAGAGATCGTCCATAAATTATCAATTGTAACAAGAGAATGTCCATAAATTATCAATTGTAACAAGAGATTGTCCATAAATTATCAATTGTACGTCCATAAATTATCAATTGTACGTCCATAAATTATCAATTGTGATAAGAGATCGTCCATAAATTATCAATTGTACGTCCATAAATTATCAATTGTACGTCCATAAATTATCAATTGTGATAAGAGATCGTCCATAAATTATCAATTGTAACAAGAGATTGTCCATAAAATATCAATTGTAACAAGGGAACTTCCATCAATTTCCGGTTTCACCGGTAGGGGGCTACTGAAACTTAAACATTATTTCTACTTACGTAAGTGTTAGCGTTGAGTTCTACATCCGTTTCTAGGTACAACCATTCGCCCGCTAACTGCTGCCCGGTTTTTCTGATTTTGATATTGTTCTTCCAGTTTACAAAATCGAACTCAACAACAATCAATTCGCCTATGTCCTCACCAATCAAGGAATACTGCATTTGCAGGCAATATGTTTTATCTGCAATAAATTTCTTCTTTGGTGATGTATTCAAGAACACAAATAAGCAATAAATTTGAACATATACGTTAACAGATTTAGCACGATATTTTGGGCATTGTTAAGGGCCCTTACTACACTGCGCCCTTTACGCCTGGGTACTTTTGTGTAGTTAGACTTACCGACCATTTGACATTTAATATTATTTTATTTTGTAGTGTTCGAATAAAATATTTTAAATTTTATATATTCAAATATATTAAACGATGGTAGTAAAGTTGAACATTTTATTTGTATGTTGTGTCCATCTGAGTTTACAAAGTACGTGATTTTCTTCATTTAATTATTACTGAAAAGGATATGATAAATTTACGTCAAAATAATAACTTTAAAAAGATAGTTTTCTTTTGCAGGGATGATCAAAATCTAATCTACAACTTAATTAATAGACAAATATGCGATTATGATTTCAAAGAGAAAACAAAAACTGCTCCCTCTTACACTTGCTCTCTCTGTTGTAACCAAGGGCTGTGACACGTTGAATATTATGATATACCACGTGATATCATAACTCAGGAAACTGTGTGAATATTAAATTCCGAAACTGTGCTAGAACACGTTAAATAATCAGCTATCGAATAAAAAATATCCTTTACATACACTGTACATGGTTGGGCTTATACGTTTTAATTACGTTTTAATTATTATTAAATAACGTATTTGTGTCGTACAAAATAAATAGGAAGTGTGAGAGGTTTTTAGTAAAAACAAGAGGCCCACAGGCTTTATAGGTCACCTGAGTATTGTGTAAAAACTTTCAAACAATGAAATTTGGTTCGTGTTTTAAACCAGAGGCCATGAAATTCACAATTCACAATTTTGAATTTGAAAGAGGCACCATTGCTTATCATAATTATTAATTAACTTACTTTATACTCAGAAAAAGATCAGAGTAAAAAAGAGAAAATGCACTTCCACAGTGAGTTTGTACCCAGTTGTGCTCCTCACCCCAATGGAACCACTGACCCAGGGGCCACATATTAAAAAAATTGCAAATTTTATCATAAAATGGTTGATTAATACCAAAGAGCAGATTTCAAAGCATTAATTTATTTTCAGACTGAGTACCCCCCTCCCCCTCTGACCCAGGGGGCTTAAAAAAACCACTTTGCTAGATGTTCCTTTCTTCATCATATAATATATATACTTGGATCATTGGCATAAAACACAGGCGCAAAGGAAATTATTTTCAAAGAATTAATGTATTTTTACTATATAATCAATAAAGCTCCATCCTAACACCGGAACCCCTAACCCTGGGGCCATAAAATTTATAATTTTGGAAGAGGCACTCTTGCACATCATAACTATTAGCTTCGTTAGTTTATTGAATATTCAGAAGCAGAGAAGAAGATTTCAAAAGAATAAATGCATTTTCACTATATAATCAATTGAGCCCCACCCTAACACCAGAACCCCTAACCCTGGGGCCATCATAACTATGTGCTTAGTTAGTTTATTTAATACCCAGGAGCAGAGAAGAAGATTTTCATGCAAACCAGAATATGGACTATTGGATTGGGTTTTCCTCTCAAGTACAAATTTAAATTCCCCTGAAATTGATTGGGCTAAAGTATAAAGAAATTGTTAACTGTCTTCGATGTTCTAAAAATATCTATATCAAGAAATTGTTATTTTCTACAATGTTCAAATGTTCACCTTACTGCAACCATCCTTATTAATCTTTATAGGTTTATGTCATGTTATGAATAATTATTGTGACATTTTAAAGGAAAGATGAAAATCTATGTGGGTAAACTTAATACATTAACGTACATTAACATAACAAGTTGTTATTTTCAAGAATTTTTCAATAAGATCGTTTTATCTTTTGAAAAAAAAGTTTTGAAGGTTTTATATTCTTCTTCAAAGGAATACTAGGGCTTATCTGGAATGCAGATGATCTAGAAAGAGGAACATGCCACTCAGAAGAACTGAGAGTAGAAATGTTTATAAAGTGTGAAATTAAAAATGTCCGGATTATCTTGATGTCAAAATCGTTTAAATACGACTTAGTGTTCTGTAGGAACAATAGTGGAAACATCGACTGCCACTATATAGTAGATTCAAACGTGAAAAGTTTTCATAACAGCAGTAGTGGACATTTAGTATTTTGACGCAATTTAATTATACTCACCACGCAGGAAAAAGACTATGGGTAAACACCACCTGCCAAAATAACGAAACGACACAGGAGAGCACTCTGCTAAAGCCATGTGGTAAGCATTAAAGATTATTTCGTGAATTATCTAACGCTCGACTTTTTCTACATTTTGAGTAGATAAGTTTGAAAATGCATTAACATTGTAAAAACTTTTTAGTCGAATGAGTAGGACGAATTGAAGTGAATGTACGGAATGAAGGCTAAGAATCTGATGGGTAGAGCATGTTTAACTTGTATTCAAATTAGTCAATGATCTATGAAATTTATTTAATTAATTAATCAGGAATATGAGATGCATACTTGTACAAAAATATAATGTATCTTTATTGTTCTTCCAGTCAGAGATTTTAGAACGACAGCCTACCATAACCACTCACATGTAACAATTTCATGCGAGCATGAATCATACAAAATGTCGGAGAGTGGTATACGCATTGTAAGCATAGACGATTTGGAACATTGCCGATGGAACAGATTTAATGAAAAAAATAATTGCTTTGGAGAAGCCCAAGGTACATGTACATTGCAAAAATGATTTCATGAAATTAGGTTAGTCAGAAAGCACAATTTAAAGTCAATGTTCTTGAATTCAAACTATGAAAATGAAAGCAAAGTATGTATTTTGTTTAACTTTAGAGAAAACATCGACGTTACTCATTTACACCGTTTTGACAATTTTCCAGCTCTAGAAAATGGTTTTAAGCTCACCATCCCATATACAGCCGATATGAACATAACCTGCAAAATCGACGGACAGTCGGTAAATATCGAAGTTGAAGAGCACATAACATCAACGCCTTCAACAACGACAGTAACGAATTCAACAACGCCTGTTACAACTTATGACACGGTTGTGTTAAGCACGACCCCTCCGTATGACTCAACACTAAAAGTTTTCACAATTACAATACAAGCATCATCTTTCAGATATAGTAATAGCGATGTTATTTAATGAATACCATTTTATTGTACTGCTTTGTAGATTTATGCATAAGTTGTCTTCCTTATCCTAATTTTGAAGGATTTTTAAAAAAAATATGGAACGTGGTCTGTTGGTTTAGCTCTTCATTTTTTCTCTTCCTTCATCCTAATAGGGTCTATTTTACTGTCAAAATTGAATCACATTAAGTTATGTCACTCGTCAGCTTTTTAGAAAAGTTCACGCAGAACCCATTACTCCAAAACTAATCGTTAAAATGCAATTTTAATAACATATTTAAGTTCAACAATGTTAATGTTTTAACATTCAACGAAAAAACTAATTAAAAATCTACAAAGAAGCAAGATTTATGAGGGACTATTTCTTGTGGTGGAAGGATATTTAGAAGATAATTCTGCACATTTATGAAATTGTACATCCTGGAGCTTTAGCCTAACGTACTTTTACTTCGAGAATATTTTCCGTTACAGACCCTGAGACGTGCTACTATCCCACACGCTCGCTGCACGAACGGTGCACGAACGCTACACGGTTTGCATTAAACGCTGCACGGTTTACACGAAACGCTACACGGTTTTCACGAAACGCTTTGCACGAAAGGCTGCACGGTTTACATGAAAGGCTGCACGAAACGCTTTGTACACGTTTCTCACACGCTTTGTGCACGATTCTCGCACGTTTTGGCCTCGGTTTGGATTTTCTACTCGGAATATCTCGGGCATTATTTCGGTTTTATCATTAATTAAATGGAAATCTTTCACAAAGCCACATTTAGCAGCTGTTTAAATTAAATATCAGTTTATAAGTATTATATAAACCGATAGAAATATTTAATACTCTGACAGTTGAAATTAATTAATAAATAATTGTCATTTCGTATTTATTTATTTATCCAACTGTTTAAAAACGATATGCCGATATCATGAATGACTGTTTAATAAAATACATTTTTCATACATTAGTCATTCATTTCAATGTAATATTTTTACGAGTATGATTTAAAAGTATACACGCTATAACTTGCGCCAGTTAAAATACGATTGGAAATTGATATAATTTGTTTATCAATAAAAATTACGAAAATACTGTAAATTACACCATTAAAATTAAACGCGTTACAAAGTTATCAAATTATATTTTTTTATTTTCCTGCAAGGAAAGAAAAATAGCTATTTTTAAATAAATCCAGCACGTGACGCCATCGCTACTTTTAGATTGATAAACACACGTGGCGTAAAGAAAACAAGGTAGGCTGTTTGAGATACTACTCACTTTTGACGTGGATGGCAAGCGTCTTACTTAATGGTACTTATCTTTTAATGTATTCAGTATCAATAATCTTCTCTGTTACGACGCATATTGACCTTATATTGATAGTTGTTAAAAAATGTTATCAAAATGCAACATATACCTCGTTGTCTGTGATTTCCCGTGGACATGTGTTTCTATATATAGACCTACTGTTTACGTACTTCCTTCATCAATATTCATGAAAAGACTGAATTCTTAATTCCTAGATATTGTTTAATTGTTTTGTTATTACAACGACATCTATAGCACAATTTTGTGGAAAGTATTATTTTTTCATTACACTTCATGTGTTTTAAATCATTAATCATTTTGTTTCACTCAAAATTCGGCGTTCATATAGCGTATATGACTTTAATAAATTAAACACAAATTCGAATTCTTATTTTCTTATCTTGATTATTGATTCATTTTCAAAGAATTTTTTTCTTACGTAAGCATTATCTATAGGAAGGAAACCGGTGAAGGGGATGGGGCTAAATGTGATGTCATGTCTTAATCTATTTTTATTCTCTTTCTCTTTTTACGTGAAGCTTATCAACTAACCTCAGTATACCCATCATACTGTAAAATCCTTCATTTCAAAACCCAACTAAACGTATGTATATATGTGTACATTAATTAATAGTCGCGGCATTTGACTATACATTGTACATGTACATACAATGTAGATCGATCTTTACACCGGCATTCAGGTATATTACAACTGTAATATCTTAGATGAAATAAAAAGTACGTGATTTATAAAACAAATAATAATTAATTATTAATGATTTACTCTTAAGCTTTCTTACACGATATTCATGAAAAGAATACCAAATCAGTTCTGTTTATTTTACTGTTTACTGCTAGAAATTCGGATTAACAAATAAAAGATGAAATCCGCTGATTTATAATATGTACCCATCAATTATTTATAGAACCATTTTATTTAAAAAAAATAAAATCCAGTCGTAATTTTCAGGTGTCATTAAGCCGTGAACTCAACATGTACATATAGCAAAACAGGTTTTCAGTTGCCATGCACTCGGAGCCCGTGATCGTTCTTGTAAATTACCTTGATCACAGTTGAAAGGCGGAAAGAAAAAGATTCCAATATATTTTTAAGGGGTGTTTCTGTGAACATATTTAAAAAAGGGTTAAAAATAGAATCGAAAAATAAGCATTTATATAAACTAACATTAGATTGAAAGTTACAACAAAAAATGAAAGTCTACTAATAATTTAACCCCCCCCCCCTCCCTCGTTTCTAAACATGTGGTCGTCAGTGCACGTGGATTAAATTTATAAAATCCATTTGTTTGACAATAATGAGCAAAAAGTTTTATGTATTAAAAGTATTAAATGACACATGGTTTCAAAGCTTTATTAAACGTAATTTAAATGTAAAGACAAGAGCGGAGTCCTGATATATTTTTGCTTTAAATAAAAAAAAGAATAATTTTTTCTTTCTTTCTTTCTTTCTTTCTTTATTTGAGAAAAAATATTTAAAAGAAGCCATGATCACGTTGATAGTATATTGAATTCAATGCCCTTAAAATTGTTGTACATAGTTGATTAATTTGAACACATTTTCTTTAGAAGGAAAAGAAAACAAACAAATATATATTATACATTACCGTGTAATTTCATTTTGCTGTTCCTTTTTAGCTCTACTGGTCAGAGATCAGAAGAGCTTATGCGATAGTAATGCGTCCGTCGTCCGTCCGTCTGTCTGTCTGTAAACAATTTTTCAAAATGCTACTCCTCCTACAGTTTTGATCTGATTTCAGTATAACTTGGCACACAAGTAGACTACACTAAGATACATAATTCTGTATATCGCTTTTTGATTTCGATGATCGGTGTTGCCGTGGTTACTAAAAATAGAAATTTCTGTGAAATTCTTTCAAAATGCTACTCCTCCTACAGTTTTGGTCTGATTTCAATATAACTTGGCACACAAGTAGACTACACTAAGATACATAATTCTGTGTATCCGTTTTTGATTTCGTTCAACGTTGTTGCCGTGGTTACTAAAAATAGAAATTTCTGTGAAATTCTTTCAAAATGCTACTCCTCCTACAGTTTTGGTCTGATTTCAATATAACTTGGCACACAAGTAGACTACACTAAGATACATAATTCTGTGTATCCGTTTTTGATTTCGTTCAACGTTGTTGCCGTGGTTACTAAAAATAAAAATTTCTGTCAAATTCTTTCAAAATGCTACTCCTCCTCCAGTTTTGGTCTGATTTCAATATAACTTGGCACACAAGTAGACTACACTAAGATACATAATTCTGTGTATTGGTTTTTGATTTCGATGAACGGTGTTGCCGTGGTTACTAAAGATAGAAATTTCTGTGAAATTCTTTCAAAATGCTACTCCTCCTACAGTTTTGGTCTGATTTCAATATAACTTGGCACACAAGTAGACTACACTAAGATACATAATTCTGTGTATCCGTTTTTGATTTTGTTGAACGTTGTTGCCGTGGTTACTAAAAATAGAAATTTCTGTGAAATTCTTTCAAAATGCTAATCTCTGTTGAGATTCTGCTAGGCTAGATATTTGGACTGACGCCTACAGAATCTCTGGACACTTCTTCATAATTCATGTCTGGAAATTGAGCCCCAACTTTGGCCGACTATAGCAAGAATTATTTACATAGGCAACACTACCGCTCGCTTCAATTTAGTCATTTGGTTGTTTATTTGACTCTCTGTCACTATTATTTCAACATAAAAAAATATTCACTGAAATCCCCATTCAAAACATGGCTCATGGGATTTCAGTGAATGTTTTTTTTATGTTGGTATTTACATGCCTAAACAGTAAGTTATGTAGAAATAAAAGTGACAGAGAGTCAAATAAACAACCAAATGACTAAATTGAACATGTTGAAGCGAGCGGTAGTGTTGCCTATGTAAATAATTCTTGCTATAGTCGGCCAAAGTTGGGGCTCAATTTCCAGACAAGAATTATGAAGAAGTGTCCAGAGATTCTGTAGGCGTCAGTCCAAATATCTAGCCTTGCAGAATCTCAACAGAGATAATCAAAATGCTACTCCTCGTACAGTTTTGGTCTGATTTCAATATAACTTGGCACACAAGTAGAATACACTAAGATACATAATTCTGTTTATCCGTTTTTGATTTCGTTGAACGTTGTTGCCGTGGTTACTAAAAATATAAATTTCTGTGAAATTCTTTCAAAATGCTACTCCTCCTACAGTTTTGGTCTGATTTCAATATAACTTGGCACACAAGTAGACTACACTAAGATACATAATTCTGTGTATCCGTTTTTGATTTCGATGAACGGTGTTGCCGTGGTTACTAAAAATAGAAATTTCTGTGAAATTCTTTCAAAATGCTACTCCAAATACAGTTTTAGTCTGATTATAATATAATAACACTGCGACATTTAAGTCCGAACACGACAAAGTCCGGACTTTTAGGTACCCTTTCGAAAAGACCTACATTAGATTTTTTTCTATATTTTGGTGGGATTTTTTATTCTGACCTCATCATGTCAATCTCAACTTCCACATTGTAGTAGTTTTCTCATAAACCTCTGTCAAAACCTAAAATCCCATGGGAGAATGGCGGGATTTTTCATCCCACCAAAAATCCCACCAAAATCCCATGGGAGAAAAAGTACTGTGGGATAATTTCTCCCACATGGGAAAAAAA